GCTGGAAACACGGAAGCCAGACCGTGGACAGCTCTGTCAGTCATTCTCAGGGTTTGGACCTCAACTAAGGGCAGCAGGGATGTGGGAAAGGAGTTCCAAGCAAGGAACCCGCTGGCCTCAGAAAGAGCCTCTCTCTAAGAGGCCCGCTTAGTGATCTTGACCTCTATGTGAACGCCGCGGTTACTTTTCCTAACCCCCGTCTACACCATTTCCGGAGTGATCGTCCTAAAACCGAGACCCTGTCCCTCGCCAGTCATCAGCTCTGCGACTTCAGATCCATTCTAAGTCACAGGTTGGAAAGTGAGAATTAGCAAAAGGGACAGGTGAAGACCAAAAGAGTCCTCCCCAGACAGAGCTATTTATTTAATCAAATTAATTTATTTACTTTTTTTTTTTGTAGATAGGTGGTATTGCCATGTTGCCCAGGCTGGTCTTGAGCTCCTGGGTTCAAGCAATCCTATTACCTAGGCCTCCTAAAGTGCTGGGATTACAGACATGAGACAACCTACCGAGCCCAAAACTACTTATAAATAGAATCGAGCTACCCCGTGACTCTCTGGCCCCCAATCGATAATAATAATGTATCAAATTCTGATAAGCAGGTGTCATCATGACATTGGTGCTTGCATCTATGCACCACTTTCCCCAGCTTCATCTTTACATTACTGCTTAAGAATATTACAGGTTCCTGAAAAGGGGCCATTAGCTGCTGCCTGTCAGCACATTCCTCCCCTCCAAGGAAACACCACAGTGGCAGTGGCATAGGCCACTCTTATGTGGACACCTGTTCTCTCACCTGCCTGGCTCGTTTCTCTAAGGCTGCCAAGGACTCTAGCTGGAGGCTGTCACCCCAGAAAAGGCCACTAGCTTGATGGCTCTCATCTCCGTGCTCTCCTGTGTTCTAGCGCCTCGTGGATTTTTAAAAAAACCATCATTTAGTTACACTCAGGGATTCTAATCAAGATCTCAGCTATCTGTTGAGCAAAGGGACAAAGAAATTCGAGAACAAAAACATCAGCACAAGGAGGGATATGCATTTTTTTTTTTTCAAGTCAGAATCTCACTCTGTTGCTCAGGCTGGAGTGCAGTGGCACGATCACGGCTTCTGCAGTCTCAACCTGCTGGGCTCAAGCAATCCTCCTGCTTCTGCCTCCCAAAGTGCTGGGGTCACAGGTGTGAACCACCATGCTGGCCAGTCTGCATATTTGTTTGTTGTTCATAAGTGTTGGTCAATTCCAAAATAATGGAGAGCTTCACTAAATGCTCAATTTTTTTTCCTAGAAAATATTTCATTTAAAAATACACACAGGTTGTATAAAAAAGAAAGAAAAACTTTTACCTAACATTTATCAGTGTCTCCTTTAAATGTATTTAATATTCTAAGCAGATGCAACTTCTCCTAAATTTCAAACACATGTCCTTAAGTGTTCATAAGAATGTTTGTTGTATAAAATGATCTATCTCAATAATTAAAACCTGACTAAAATTTCTGTTCACACTGCTTATGCACCTGTCACGTTCCATTCCATTCCTATGCTACTCAGACCCTTGGATTAAGGAGTCACCAGTGGCCTGACTTGTTCCTGTCTCTGCATCCTGCAACTGGCTCACCCACAGTGTGCTGTTCCTTTAAGACAAAGACCTCATTCAATCTAGGTTTCATCTGGTGAGGGGGAAGGGAAGAACAGTTGTCCCTTTGTTGTGTTATGGCTCTGCGGTGACCCTCTTGGCTCAGAAGGAAAAACCTGGGCATATTAAACACCCAGACCACAAAAATACATTTAAAACACAGAAAATGAAGTACTCAGACCCACTTAAATGTTTTTACCATCTGGCAAATAACACCCCAAGGGCCAAGACTGTTACCTAAGAAAACTTTCAAGTATGTTACCCAAGCCTGAGAGGCAACAGGTAGGCAGATCTCGTGCCAGTTAGAAGTGTTATGATTGGCAGAGCGTGGTGAAACTCTGAACTTACAGCTTAATGGAAGTGCTGGCTGGCATTCCCAAAGTACATTTCAAGGAAGCAAAAATTTGAGAATTAGGACTGGGCATGGTGGCTTATGTCTGTAATCCTAGCACTTAGAGAAGCCATGGAGGACTGCTTGAGCCAGGAGTTCGAGACCAGCCTGGTCAACACAGTCAGACCCCTATCTCCATAAAAAAAATTTTTTTTAAATAGCTGGGCAAGGTGGCGTGTGCCAGTAATTCCAGTTACTTGGGAGAAAGCTGAGGCAGGAGGATTGCCTGAGCTCAGGAGGTCGAGGCTGCAGTGAGCCATGATGTACTCCAGCATGGGCAATAGAGTGAGACCCCAACTCAAAAAGAAAAAAGCACCGTGAGAATTAGAAGCCACTAAATGGAGGTCCTCATCCATCTGGCATCTGGAAGGTGAAGTTAACAAAACGGCTTCTACATAGGTCCCAGCCTTAATCTGTACCCCTCCTGCCACCGTGCCCTGCACCCTCAGGACCGAAGAGGCAGGCCAGGGCAGGGGCCACTTGACAAGCTCTCAGCCCAGCTCCCAGATGGCACCAGGCTGACAAGGGACAGATGTGGAAGCCAGAGGTCTCAGGGCCCAAGAAACAGCCAGCCCCACTGGACAGTGCAGCTCGGGGGTCGGAGAGCTTACCCCCAATCTTGCGAAAAAATAAACCCGATGATGTCCGAGGGGTGGATGAAGGAAGTGGCTGAGGGACCTGGAAGCCCTGGGAACTGGCGCCTGAATGGCTTGGTTTGGCCTCCGAGCACACACTCTGCTCCAGCCGCTTTCCCCTGGTCTTTAGGCCCAAGCGTATTCTATGTGGGAATTGATCCCACATGCTCTGATTCATTTCCACTGACCACCTCAAACTGCATTTCCCTCTGAGGCCCAAGGAGCCTGCCAGCCCCTCACCAGCCTCTCTGAGTCTCTTGGGAGCAGGAAGTTGCCTTGTGCATGAATGGCACGCAAGCTCTAGAGACTCGGGTCTGCTTCCAAACATGGCACCTATGAAACCAGTGGGGCCTCAAGGCACAAGACAAAGCGGCCCGGACTCCCTTTCCAGCGGGTGGATGACATCTCGCCTTGTGCTGTCGGGTCTGGGAGTCAATATCCAGAGCTACCAGTGTAGAGCAACCAGTCACCACCGGTGCTCTCAATCACCCCGCCCCCACAGGGCACCCCGGCACTGCCACCTTCCGTTCTCTGCTCTCAGGAGGGCCGGGCTGAGCCGAGCACAACTAGAGGAAAACCCCCTCCATCTACCGAGCTCTGAAGGCTCTGAACCCCGAGTGTGCCAAGCCAGGTGTTCTGATGTCACTGTTAAGGTCCTTGACTCTCATGAAAGGGGCACGACTGGGCATGGCCTAGACATGCTTAGCTGTAGTTGGAGAAGGAAGTGGCCAATAACCAAGTGGGGGGGTGGGGCAGGCGTGAGACACGTTCCTGAGGGGAAAGCGGCCCTGTTGCTGCCTGGGCGAGTGGCTGCTCCCTCCCTGGCTACAGAGAACCAACAGGACGCCTGCCTCCATGGCTACGGAGGACCCACGGGATGCCTGCCCGCCACAGGGCCCGTGCACAGCTCCGGCACAGTGCAGTCCCCAAAGAGAACATCACCAGCAGGTAGACCGGCTGTGGCCTCAACCGACGGGGGTCCACTGCTCCTGAAGCCCAGGCCAGCCTGGGGACGGGATATGAAGGCAGCTGCCCACCTGCCCCCCAGTTGGATGTGCACTGTTGCCTCTCTGGAGCCCTGCCCGACATTCTGAGACTGGAAGGAAACCAAGGCCCTGACCAGGAAAGGGGGATGAATCCTACAAGGAAAAGATGCCAGGCACAAGGGGGCTGGGCCTGGGCCACACCTGCCCACCTATCTTTGACAGTGTGCTCCCAACGCTGGCTATTAGAGTTTCAGAAAGTCCTGTTGGCCAGGCCCTGCCTAAGCCCAACGGCATCAGAGTCTCTGTGGTGAGGCCCAGGAAACCATCTTTGCTTCTAAACTCTATGAGTTCTCCCACCATGCAGCAGATGAGGGCCTGGTGTGAAGTAGCCTGAATGTGGCCTGCCCTGCATGGGTCTTGGAACTGTCTACACAAGGGAAGGACTGTGGGTTGTTTTCTAATAGAACGGACCAGGACTCAGGCTGATGCTCCCCCCCATCTCCCACAGTGCCCTAACGCCCCAGGCTCCCATCCTCCTGCCTGGGCCACAGAAGCTGCCAGAGACCTCTGGAGAGTTCCAAGCCAGTCCCCAACAGGTGCACACAGGACCAGAACTAATGCCAGCAGCCGAACCGTCTGAGATGTCAAAATGAGGCAACCACAAGATCTCTTCAAATATTTAATCAGTTTGGAGACTTCTGCCTTCCAACCCAGCTGGGTGAAAACTCAAGAAGGCAAGATAAGGGGCCTTCAAGGAAGACACTGAGCTAACACAGAGGGGCCTGGGCTTGGGGAAGCAGCAGAACAAGTGTAAGGCCTCTTGTGAACTCTATATCACATCTTAGAAAGTACTCAGAATGCATGAGAAAGGGTTAAACAGCTATACAAACGTGTGGACCACTAAGACTTCTCTTGTGGCGGAAAAGGCCAGCCACGGTTGGAAACTGAGTCTTGGAGCCCCCTTAAGCCCCCCACGGGCTGTCTCCACGGCCTCCCAGCACATGGGAGAAGCAAGCTAGCAACACCTGGGCCCCCGCGCCCCCAGGGTCTCAGCAAAGCAGCAGCGCAGGGCGGAGGGGGGAGAGGTGATGGCAAGCCGCTCACAGTCTTTGCGCAGAGACTCAGACCCCAGCAAGCCTCAGCTATTTTCTTGGAAAGGCATGGAAATAAACAAGGCCTCAAAAAGTCTCCGACGAGCTCATGTCAGGGGCCAGTGCCGGCCCTTTCCCGTGACCGCATCGCAGGAGCTGGGTGGTGTGTCCTTCAGAGGGGCAGGCTGCGGCAGAGCAGTGGGGGCCAGGCATCGGGGCCAACTCCGGAACGTCCGGCAGGGGGCGTGACACCCATCTCTGTCGTGTGTCCTCTCCTGTCCTGGGGGCTGGCGAGAGCATCGGGCCCCGCACAAGGCTCAGAACGGGTACTGCGACACGTATATCCTCAGCCGGATCACGGAACTGCCCCGGAAGTTGATGACGGTGTTGACGGTGACCATCTCCAAGTCCAGCTGGATGTCCCGGGGCCCTTTGATGGGGCGCGTCATCACCAGGGTGGCACTGATGGGGCCTGTTTGCTGCAGACAGAAGCAAGGATGCCAGTCAGAGGTCTGCGAGGTGCCCTGCATCCTCAGCTAGGGCCCCCTTGGCCTCCAGCCAAGCCAGCCTCCCCTTGCTACCTCAGTGGGGCCACACTCCTCTCCACCTGCTCCTTCCTGCTAACCCTGCAGGTCCCCCCAGAGAGAAGCCTCCCTGGCTCCCCAAACTAAGTCAGGTTCCCTGTGGTCTCTCCTCCACGTGGCCTATGTCTGAATCTTGGTCCCTGCTAGACTTGAGCCAAAAGGTCACTCCAGAGAGGAGCCTCCCTGGTCTCCCAGGCTAAGTCAGGCCCCCATGGCCTCTCCTCCATACAGGATGGACAGCAGTGTGTAACTATCTACACTACCCCCATGTGGCTCATGTCTGAGTCTTGTCCCCGCTAGACTATGAGCCTGTAAGAACAGGCATCATTGGGGTCAGGGTTCCCACCACCAAGTATACCCTGAGCCCTGAGCCCTCGTGGTGCTGGGAACATATCAGGTGTTCAGAAGATAGATCTTGTAATGACAAGCGCATGACGGGGTGGTACTCCACCTCTGGGTCTCATCTCTAAACTGAGGATCCCCCCCCCCAGGTCCATAATTCCCAAACAAATGGCACCAAAAGTCATTGGAATATTTTTTTTCTGAGTCAGGCTCTTTGTTGCCCAGGCTAGAGTGCAGTGGCACGATCATGGCTCACTGCAGCCTTGATCTCCTGGGCTCAGGCAATCCTGCCTTAGCCTCCTGAGTAGCTGGGACTACAGGTACCACCACACCCAGCTAATTTTTTATTTTTATTTTTGTAGAGATGAGGTCTTGCTATGTTACTCAGGCTGGTCTCCATCTCCTGGCTTAGGCAATCCTTTTGCTTCAGCTGCCCAAAGTGCTGGGATTACAGGCATAAGCCACCATGCCTAGCAGGAATACTTTTTTTAAAAAATTAATTTTATGTTTTGTTTTGTTTTTTTGAGTTGGAGTCTCACTCTGTCACCCAGGCTAGAGTGCAGTGGCACGCTCACGGCCACCGCAGCCTTGACCTGCTGGGCTCAGGCGATCCTTCACCTCAGTCTTCCAAGTAGCTGGAACTACAGGTGCATACTATCATGCCTGGCTGATTTTTTGATTTATTGTAGAAATGAGGTCTTGCCATATTGCCCAGGCTGGTCTCGAGCCCCTGGGCTTAGGCAATCCTCTAGCCTCAGCCTCTCAAAGGGCTGGCCACCATGCCCGGCTTGAGAATACTTTTGAAAAACAACCCAGGAACCTATTCCAAGACGTCCTAGGTCAGTACACATTAGGGATGCCTGGGAAGGGGGAGTAAGTTTGAGACACTGCTCTAGATGCCCTGCAGTCTCGGCCAGCGTCACCATCCTATGACCCTACCACTGAGTCCTAATAATTTCATGTGAACTTTCTCCTCGAGTCTTCTTCTAAAACCTCTGAGGAGACAGGGAGAGAGAAATGACATCAGCTGGACCTCCACCATGTGTGAGGCCCCCTTCCAGCCTCTGCAATGTACATCTTGTATCTAATTCTCATGAAAAAACCCGACAGCAGGGCATCTGCAGGGGCTTCTGAGAACCACAGACGCTCAGGGCCACCTAGAATCTCCTGAGCCAGGCAGGCTCTGCAGCTTAACACGATGCCTACACTGATAACTGAGAGGAGCTGGCCTAAAAGCGAGGACCCGCAGGTCCCTGCTGCCCTTGTCCAGGCACTGAACAAAGTGGATGTTTCGTTACTTACCCATTTTAAAGCAGGCACACCGAGGCCCAGGGAGGTGCTGCTAGGATCACCCAGCTAGTCAGGCAGAGCTGGGGCTTCTCTGCCGGTGTTTCTGTTTGACCCCAAGCCCTAGGCCTTTTTCATGGCACGAGGATTATCAGAAAAAACGGATGCGAGTTTCATTTCTTTTTCTAGCTTGGACCTAATGGAGGTGCCCAGAGTCAGTGCAATGGACAGATGGTGGCAGTGGCAGAGAAAGCTGTGTGAGGGACAGCTGGGAGGGCTGGATAACCACAGCCTGTGGACACTGCCCACTCCACAAGTGTAGAGCCCAGCCCCGTGCCCAGGTGTTCTGTATCTCAGGGAACATGGCTTGTTGAAACCAGATGCATTCCCCGTCTCCATAAAGGGAGGTCCCCATCTGTTCTGAACATCCCCATGGGCTGCATAGGCATAAGGGGGGTACTGGCAGGCGGGTGCTGGGACCTCGCCATCCACCAGTGGTCTCAGCCCAATGGCTGCGCAGTGTCCTCCTGGCAGTGGCCCCCTCTATGCCCGTCATATCCGTGTAACTGGCACCTCCTCGCCCAGAGGATCACTTGACTTCCTGGTCAGACTTGAAAACCTCAGGGCCATGGGCCAGGATCAGAGGGGACAGCCCCACAGGGAAGTGCCCAGACATCTGCACACACAAATCCCCCACCAGTCTTTGCTGTGAGCAGGAGCAAAGGTCAAGAGCTGAGGACCTGAGTTGTGGGTGGCCAGGGACCCTGAGCCATAGGCTGTGTCGTGCTGTGTTTGCAAGGCTGCCTGTCCCCTCCCACGACAGTATGTGTGGCTCCCTCTGGGGCGTGAGCCAAATCCTTTTTGCTCTTGAACACTAGTGCCTGACTCAGAGCCATATGCACAGTGGTGCTGGAAGGATTCATGCCAGTGAGCAGTCCGTAGCCGGCGTTCTCTCGGCCCTGGTCCCACACACACTCGGGCTTGCCCTGAGTTACCTTGCGGGATGGTCCTGTTCAACTTGTGGCCTGGTCCCCACATCCCTGCCATTGGGCCCCCACATGTCAAGAAGCAAATGACCCCCCCCGTCCTTGCCACTGGACCCAGGCATGTCAGAGAGTAAATGCTCCCCTCATCCCGGCCACTGGGCCTCCACGTGTCACAGAGTAAATGTCCCCTTGTCCCTGTCACTGGACCCCCATGTGTCACAGAGTAAATGCCCCCCTTGTTCCTGCCATTGGGTCCACATGTGTCACAGAGTAAATGTCCCCACATCCCTATCATTGGACTGGGGCATGTCACAAAGTAAACGCTACCCTCATCCCTACCACCAGACCTGGGTGTCACAGAGTGAATGCACCTTGGTGTATCTGAGCCCTGTGATCATGCGTCTTCTTCTGAGTCCAAGACTGCCCAAGGCCAGTCACCAGCCCTCTGTCCAGGCTCAATGTGAGACAGAACACCAAAAAGGCTTATGACCTGGGCATGCATACATGTACATATTCATGTGTGTTCATGCCTGTGCGTGTGTGCACTTGGGTGTATGTGCTTTTCCTACTGGGTGAGCTGAAGCTCTTCCCAGGCATCTGTCATGGAATCAATGCATCTCAGGGTGGTGGGCCTGAGCAGCCCCCAGTGGATTCCTGACATCTCCAGACCCCAGAGTTCACAGTCTTTGATGGGAGCAGCGGCGGCAGCAATGGTGTGGACACAAGTATGACCGTGTTCACTGAACACGTTCCTTCTCACTAGATGTCAAAGGGGACTTTGTTACCTCCATTCCTGCTGAGACTCCAAAGCTGGAAGAGGAGGCAACAGTACCTCACATTCTAGAGAAACGTCAGAGCACACACTGGTGCCAGGCTGCCAAGGTTCAGCTCCTGCTCTGGTGTTTAATAGTCATGAGGCCTGCTGTGCAGGTTACTCAGCCTCTGGGTCTTGGTGCTCTCAGCTGTAAAACTGGGCGATAAGACAAGCCTTGTCGTGGGACTGTGGAAATGAAAGCCTTGCTATGTGGAAAGTGCTCAGAGTCAAGTCTGGCACATGTCGGGTATCCCACATGACTTGCTGAGGCCGTACATGTAGCTGCTATGACCTGCAGTAACGTGTGGCCCAAAGCAGTAGTAATAATAATTCGTGGTTATTACTTTGTGGTCCAAAGCCAGATGTTTCCCTGTCATCAGTCTACACATGCTGTTGTTTTATTTTTAGAGACAGGGTCTCACTCTGTCACCCAGGCCAAAGTATAGTGGTGCGATCTTGGCTCACTGCAGCCTTGACCTCCTGGGCTAAGCAATCCGACCACCTCAGCCTCCCAATTAGCTGGGACTCCAGGCATTAGCCATTGTGCCTGGCTCTGCAACTGTGTTTTATTAAACACACTCATCAGCCTCCACCTCAAGCAAGAGTGGGTTTCAAGAGAGCTGTTCAGAGACACGGGCCCTGGAGTTCAAGGATGCAGAATGGTACGGGACTCTCACCCGGAGATGTCCTGAGATGATGTGGCAAGTGCCACGGAAGAATTGTATTTTTCGTTGTTTTTGTAGAAACAGGGTCAAAGTCTGTCACCCATGCCAGAGTGCAGTGGCACAATCAGTTGGGTGTGCGCTCCTAAGTTTGTCACTGATGCACACAAGGCAGTGTGTCCGTCAAACCCAGACGCATGCTATATCGGGCCCATCAAAGCAGCAACCACACAGGGCTCCTGAGCACCTGACATAAGATGCCCAGGCAACAGACAGGAAAGGGGCCTGCAGGGGCCAGAGAGGCCCCGCCTCAACCTGGCTCACACTTGCGCACCCCTGGGTGACGTCTCAGGTCAACCCGCTACTGTCGGGCAGACTCCTCCTGTGGCAGAAGCCCAGATTTGTTTAGCAGAAACGCCAACCTCTGTGTCCCTTCGATATTAATTTCTCTCCGTCCCTGGCTCAGAGCGGGGAAGGATGTGGAAAACCTTGTCCCTCCCACTGGTGACAGTGGAGGCTCTGGTTCCTCCAGGGCTGGAGGCGGGGCTGCAGGGGGTGGAAAGGGCATGGCAAGGAGCTGGGGTTTTCCTCCAAGTGTGGCTATTATAACCAGGCCTTGGTGCTGACCCAAAAGCTCTTGCTTTCACAGGGTGCCTGTGGGTTTCTAGAATACTCACCTAGTGGGGGGAAGCCTGTACTACAAGGGGCCCGCCCTCCAAAAAATAATTCTGGATTTTTTGGGGTTCCCCTTGTATTCTCATAGTTGTGGAAGTCCAAAGTCTGGAATCAGTTTCCCTGAGCTGAAAACACCATTTCAGCACTTGCAAACAAGTGTCCATGTTCACACTGAAAGATGAGAAACACTGCTCCAAGCTGGGGGACTCCAAGGGGGGTGACCGCCCAGGGGCTACAAGATACAAAGTTCAATGGTATAAACCGCACAGTGTTACATGTGTGCAACTGACAAAAAGCAGACACATTGGGATGTGTGCTCCTAAGTTTGTCACTGATACACACAAGGCAGCATGTCCGTCAAACCCAGACGTGTCCTATATCTGGGCCATCGAAGTAGCAGCCACATGGGGCTCCTGAGCACCTGAAATGTGGCGAGTGCCACAGAAGAACTGTATTTTTTGTTGTTTCTATAGAGACAGGGTCTCGTTCTGTCACCCAGGCTGGAGTGAAGCGGCACAATCATAACTCACTGCAGCCTCAAACTCCTGAACTCACGTGATCCTCCAGCCTCAGACTCCCAAGTAGCTAGGACCTCAAGTACACATGGCCATGTCCGGCTTTTATTTATTTTTTTGTAGAGACAAGGTCTCACTATGTTGCCCAGGCTGGTCTCGAACTCCTGACCTCTTAACCCTTCCACCTCGGCCTCCCAAGGTGCTGGTATTACAGGCGTAAGCCACCGAGCCCGGCCTAAGAACTGAATGCTTTATTTTATTTAATTCCAACTGATTTTTAAAACTTGGCTTGATTCATTAGATTTCAAGAGCCACACTAGCTACTGTGTCAGCCCACTTCCATGAGCCACGCCTTCACATGCACTGGAGAGTGAGCACTACGAGGTTGGGATTTGGGATGTTTTCTCCATGGTGGCACCCTCAGTTTCTAGAAGTATTCACCAAGTGCTTCATCGATGCTGTCACATGGGTGGATGGCTAACTGGCCTCCCAGAGAGTTTTAGGGGAAGGGCAGCCTGAGGGCATCCTGGTCTGAACTCTATACCACACATGGGGACACTGCAGTCTACACAGGGGGAGTGTCGTCTGCAGGCCACACAGACCACAAGAGACACCCGGACTCTAGTCGCCCGTTCTCTCCTCTCGCCCTGCCTGGCCCCCTGGCCAACTGTTCCCCATGTCCCGCACCGTCTACTAGAGGGCCAGCCCAGGCCACCTTAGGGACAGAGTGCACACCACGCCCACTTACCCGCATGTAGAACTCACGGCCCTCGTTCCCAGATTTGATCTGGAAGATGTAGTAGGCGCCCGGGTAGCGCGTGGTCGCCTGCATCTGGAAGATGTCGGCAGGAACGGAGCGACCCGACACCACGTCCATGTCCCGGTACAGGATGGTGAAGGGTTGGTCTCGGCAGCCAGGATTCTCCGCTGGGCACATGCAGCGGCTGGTGGGGGGAGTTGCAAGAGACAGGAGATCGTCCAGGCGGGGCCAGGCATACTTCCTGTCCCCAATAGATCCTCCCCGGTATGTCTGTGCCTACTCCCTATCCCCAGTAGGCTCTCCCAGGTGTGTCTATGCCTACCTCCTCTCCCAACTAGGTCCTGCCATTGTGTCTGTGCCACTTTCTTTCCACCAGTCCTGCTCTGTGTCGTTCCTTCCCATTCTTGATCAGAGCAGGACTCACCTAGAGAGCCCTGAAATCCCCCTGGCTGCCATGCTCCTAGCAGGCTGGGTGGGTGTATGTAACTTCCCCTTCATCTCTATTGTGAGGTCCCAGCTGTGTCCCAGGATTGCCAATGTGTGACTACGTGGAATAGAGGAGGGCACATAGGTACCCGTGTGTGCATGTATGTGTGTATGTGCATGTGCGGAGAGGCCAAGGAGGAACTGAGAAAGTCACACAGTATCTAAAAGAAAAGGAAAATGAACTCCTGTCCATGTGTGGAGGCTCTTGCCTGTAATCCCAGCACTTTGGGAAGTCCAGGCAGGAGGATCCCTTGAGGCCAGGAGTTCAAGACAAGCCTGGACAACATAGCAAGACCTTGTCTCTACAAAAAAAAAAATTAAAATTAGCCAGGTATGGTGGCATGTGCCTGGAGTTCCAGCTACTTGGGAGCCTGAGGTGGGAGGACTGCCTGAGCCCAGGAGGTCGAGGCTGTGGTAAACCAAGTTTATACCACTGTACTCCAGCCCAGGCGACAAAGCGAGACTGTCTCAAAAAATTATTTAAAAAAGGAAAAAGGAACTTCCAGTGTGCTCAGAACAGAAAGCCACTGTCCAGGTGCATGTGCCTTTAGAGGCTGTCTTCACTTGAATTCTTCTTCAACTCCAATGTTTGCCATCTGGTGATTAGCACAACATCGCCCATGATGATGCTAGAGACTTGATCAGATCCAGCTAAAAGTCCTCGCAGCTCACAGAGCCATCCTGAGACTGGAAGCACTTATTCCACCTGGGATCACCAGAAGGCAGGATCGTGGCTCACCTCAAGCCCACTGAACCAGAGCCAGCATCTAGCAAGACCACCAGACAAGTCCTGGGTGTGTTACATGTGAGAGCCCTGCAACAAACAACCCTGTGTATCCAGAACAAAGTCATTAAAGGAAAGAGGAGGTCAGGAGCCCCGTCTCCAGGCTTGGCCAGCTTTCTGAAGGGGCTCCAGCTGGGGCGTGAGGGCTGGGGCCACAGAGAACCACGTGTGTGTTTCTTACCATGTGTCCTACTGTGGTCAAACATTTTGAAAAACTCTTTTTTCTTTTTTTTTGAGTTGGGGTCTCATTGTGTTGCCCAGGCTGGAGAGCAGTGGCATGATCGCAATTCATCACAGCCCCTACTTCCTGGGTTCAGGCAATCCTTCCACCTCAGTCTCCCAAAGTGTTGGGATGACAGGCATATGCCACTAAGCCTGACTACATTTTTCATTCTTTGTAGAGATGAGGTCTCACTATGTTGCCTAGGCTAGTCTCGAACTCCTGGGCTCAAGCTATCCTCCTGACAGTCTCCCAAAGTGCTGGGATTATAGTTGTGAGCCACCACGCCAGATGAAAAATACACCTTTATCATACGTGGGAATGTGTTTCAGATCTTATAACTTGCAACATGATGTTTTGCAGACTTGTGTGACAACAATAAGCAGTAGCACATTTTGTACTGCAGACCAGTACACACAACTGAAACAGATGTTCCAGAAAACAAGATGGACTCTTGCCATCTGCAACATACTCTGCTGTTTCTTGCTCCAGTCTGCTCTATGCTATACATGGGTACACACGTGTGTTTATACACCTGAACCCCTGCAGGAGTCCAGGCTGTCTCCTCTGGCCCCAACCTGCCAGCCCAAGCTGAGACCCTCAGCTCCATCCCCACCCCAGGGAGCCACGACTCACTTGTCACTGATCTGCAGGTAGGGGTCCTCGCAACGGATGGGATCGATGCACTTGAAGCCCCCCTGCAGGTTGTAGCACGTCTGCTGCAGGATGCACGTGTGGTTCCGGTGCTCACACTCGTTGATGTCTGAAACACCAGAAGGACAGACACTGAGGCAGGGTGGTGGGATCAAGGTGTCAGCCCCACTGCTCAGGCCTTACCACAGAGCCACACTACCCAACACGATGGTGCCAGCCACATGTGACTATGCAGCACATGGAACATGACCGGTCAAAACCAAGATATACCATAAGCAGAGAATACACAGCAGGTGTTGATGACTTCGTACAACAAAGTACAAACCACTCATCTATAACCTGTATACTGAGGCTGAACATGGTGGCTCACACCTATAATCTCAGTACTTTGGGAAACCAAGACACAAGGACTGCTTGAGCCCAGGAGTTCGAGGCCAGCCTGGGCAACACAGCAGGACCTCATCTCTACAAAAAAGAAGAAAAATTAGCTGGGCATGGTAACGTGTGCCTGTAGTTCCAGCTACTCGGGAGGCTGAGGCAGGAGCATCGCCTGAACCCAGGAGGTCAAGGCTGCGGTAGCTATGATCATGCCTCTGCTCTCCAGCCTGGGCCACAGAGTGAGACCCTGACTCAAAAAAAAAAAAAAAAAAAAAAAAGTGAATGTTGAGTGCATGTGAAATACTGTTTTGGATACATTGTATTACATATAATATTGTAAACGATTTCACACATCTTCATGATTGTTCAGTTGGGTCCTGGAAGCTGTGGTACTACACAGGCAGCACACACATGTAGCTCATGTGCACTCTGTCATCTAACCCTGCAATGGAGAACCCCTGCATGGGGCTGAGATTGGGAGGCTCGACGAGTCTGGGGATGGGTCAGTCAGTCCTATACTAACCCCATGGGTGGCGCAGGAGCGGGAAGTTAGGCCTAGCAACCCCTCTGCAGAAGGCCCACCCTGTTCACAGCTGGCTCCCATCCCACAGGGGACTTGGCCATTGCATGCGAAGGTGCCCTAGCCACTGTTCCCCAGGAAGTCCGTGGGGAGGCAGCTGAGCCACCCTCCAGGTCATTTGAAGGCTGGGCCAGGACCCCCAGTTGGGCACAGAGACCCTCCCAGGAGGCAGGACTCCATATTGGGAGGGACCCTGTGTCTGCAGAGCTGGACACCCATGGTCCCTGGGCAGGAGGTACTACATGGCATCTTCCTGGAAATGCCAGTTGGAAGCCCCAGCACTCACTCACACCTTCACCATGCCCACTTCCCAAGCTGCAGAGACTGCCAGTGAAGACACTGGGTGACCCAAGACTGCCCCACCCCGGGCCAGGCCCACCCAACAGCCTTACCCTGGCAGCTGCGGTTGTCATCCAGCAGGATATAGCCCGGAGGGCAGGAGCAGAAGTAGGTGCCGGGCTGGTTCACACACTCATGCTGGCAGAGGAACTCGGAGAAGCTGCACTCGTCCATGTCTGCAGTGACAAGTGACACTTGCTGTGACTCATCACAAACTGTGTGGGGAGGGAGCCCTATGGTTGTCTACACCAGTGCCACACTCTCCCAGAACATATGACAGCTTCACTGCCAAGAAGCTACGACTCACCTCTGGAATACGTCCACTGACAGAGAACTCACTACCTGTGGAGGTTGCCCATTGGTACTCGGACGCTCTAACAGTCAGAAAACTCTTGCCTACTCCCATGGAGCTGAATTCCACCCCCATGGAGCTGAATTCCACCCCCATGGAGCTGAATTCCACCCCCATGGAGCTTCCAACGACCTCTACCTCTGGTTCCACTGCACCTGCCACTGCTTACCAGCTGTGGCCTGTGACGTAGAGAGTAATTCAAGGACATGGGGCACAGCACCCACCACTCCTTACTGACCATGGCCTGTTAGCTAGAGAGTAATCCAAGGACATGTGCCACTGCAGCTACCACTCCTCACCCCCCTATAGGTACATCAACCCTCCACCTTCCACCTGCCCAAAGTGCTGACAGCTGTTTGCCTGCTGGGATTATCTGGATATGAGCTCTTTCCAAGACTACAAAACCCACCCAGGCCTGTAGGGTCCTTTTAGGGGTGACTCCAACAGTGCTAGCTCCCCTCAACTACCACCTTTTCCAAGTTGAGGAGCACCTTGGTCCTAAAATCACAACTAGATTGCTGTGGCACACTCAGAATGCCAGGGCTTTAATTATAGGAAAGCTTCCCTGTGTCCAAAAAGCCCTCCTCAAGCAAGAAACAACACTCTTGGGTGGGGGGCTGGGTGGTAGGCAGTCAGTGTCTCTCATGGCCCTTGGAGTGAGGCAGGCAGGCAGCCACAGTGTCTCTCATGGCCCTTGGGGTGGCGTGGGTGGGTAGACACAATGTCACTCTGTGGCCCTTGGGGTGGCATGGGTGGGCAGGCACGGTGTCCTTTCATGGCCTGTGGGGTGGGGTGGGTGGGCAGGCCTGATGTCTCTCCGTGGCCCTTAGGGTGGCGTGGGTGGGCTGACCTAGTATCTCTTTATGGCCCTTGGGGTGGTGTGGGTGGGCAGGCCCTGTGTCCCTCCATGGCTCTTGGGGTGGCATAGGTGGGCTGGCCTGGGGTTTGTGGCCCTGAGGGTGAAGTGGGTGGGCAGACATAATGTCTCTCCATGGCCCTTGGGGTGGTATGGGTGGGTAGGCCCAGTGTCTCTCTGTGGCCCTTGGAGTGACATCGGTGGGCAGGCACAGTGTCCCTCCGTGGTCCTTGGGTTAGCATGGGTGGGCAGGTGGTATCCCTCTGTGGCTCTTGGGGTGGCATGGGTGGACAGGCATGGTGTCTCTCTGAGGCCCTTGGTGTGGCACAGGTAGGCAGGCTGATGTCTCCGTGTGGCCCTTGGAGTGGGGTGGGTGGGAAGGCACTCTGTCTCTCCATGGCCCCGGGGGTGGCATGGGGCAGGCCAGTGTTCCTCTGCAACTCTTGGAGTGAAGTGGGTGGGCCGGCACGGTGTCTCTTCGTGGCCCTTGGAGTTGGTGGGCAAGCATGGTGCCTTCTGTGGTCCTTGGAGTGGGACAAATGGGCAGTCACAGTGTCTCTCTGTTGCCTGCCTGCCTCAGTTTCCCCCAATACACGGGAAGTGGCAGCTTCCTGCTGCCTGGAGCCTGCCTGGAGCTGGGGCAGTGGGCCCGAGGGAGAGTGCCGCCCTTGTGATTTACAGCCATCCCATGGGCCATGACCGTCGGGCAGACACAGGCGTTCCAGCAAAGCCACCGCCTCATCACAGAGTTTGGCAGCGGAGCTGTGTTCGAGCCTCCCTCGACGAGCTCGCCAAGGAAAACATGTTGTTCTTGCATTGTTGTTTCCCGAAAACTTGCTCCCACCAGATTCCCCATGTGACATGTCCTCGGATCACTCTCAATTCACAGACTGCAGTGGCTGGAGTCACCCAGGGGGGTGTCGGCACTCAGTGCTCTGTGACCCAATCAGAGTACCTGGACACATGCACCAGCCTCTCCCACTAAGAAGGAAGTCCTGTCCATCTCTTGGGAGCCTTCAGGGGATGGGTCTGGAGTTGTCGGAAGCAGGACGACGACACGTGAAGTTGGGGCGTGCCCAGGGAAGACTTGCCTGTCATGCCCCCCCAGAGCTTTCTGGAGCTGAAGTCGCTGCCCTAACCCAGCATAAGGAAGTGTCCTTCCAAGTCTTTCGCTCTACACACGCCCCTGGGAGTGGGGATACCTGCCAGGCCCCAAGGTTCCCGTGGGCCAGGTGCCGGGCCAGGTGCCAGGTCAGATGCCTCCCAGGCCTCATCTTATTAATCCCCACCTCTGTGGATTTCTCAGGAGAAAACAGAAGACTTGCAGATGTCAGTGACTCAAGCAGGTTTACAGACAGCACAGAGCAGGAAGGCAGGAACAGGGCCTAGCTGCAGCCTCCAAAGCCCACGCCCATGAGCACAACACTGGTCCATGCTCCCTGCTCGCTGAGGTTCAGGATGGATACAGGGTGTCTGGGGAGTCCTGGGGCTGAGCAGTTCCCCAGCGGGTCCCACTCTACCAGATGGAGGGATGCACTTTGCCCACCTCCCACAGGGCAGGAGAGGTGCTGCAGACCCACTCACCTCATCTCTTAGACTTCACTAAGACTCATCTCTTTAGACTTCACTAAGGCTGCAGCTCCAGCCTCCAACAGGGCAACCACAGCCTAGCTCATCTGGGGGCACATCCAAGGCCTGCCCACCCATGCCATTCCAAGAGCCACGGAGGGACACCATTCCACTCCTCCACAGGGCACTGGCTGTGGTTTCCAGGGTTGCCTGGCTTGGCAGATCCCTGGGGGGACAAGAGGATGGGGATGGGCAGGGCCTGGGCTGCACAGAGGAGGGGCCACAGCCACAAGGGCACAGTGAGGATAATGTGCTTGGGGACACAGAGATGCACAGGGAAGGTTAAGGAGAAAGGTGCCAGGTCAGCCCCCCAAGAAAACCCAGGGCTGCCAGGAGAGTGGGTGTCAGGGTGAACTCAGAGGACAAGTCGGCCGTTGTGGTAAAGTGAGTCAGCTGTGAATCTCTGCCAGCTCAGCAAAGATCTGGGCTACTCGTGCAGGTAAAGTCTCTCATACTCACACTAAGAGAAAGAAGGCAGCGTGTGCCAGCACCTGAGTGTACTAACCATCCAAGGGAGCCTGGCTGGCTGGTTGTTTTTTAAAAAAGGATGAAACAGGCTCAGGGAGTGACCCGGCCAAGGTAAGTAGTAAACAGGAGAGCCGGGATTTGAACTCAGCTCCATGTGGCTCCCAAGTCGCTCTGTCACAGAGTAACAGACAGTGGAGACTCGGAGAGGAGCAGTTGGGGGTGAGGGGTGAGACGTTGCCTGGTGGGTGTGACAAACACTGCTGGGTGATGGCCACACTAAAAGCCCAGACCTCACCATCACGTGACATATCTACATAACAAAATTGCACTGTGTCCCCAAGTCTGCAAGAATGCAAAAAATACACTCTACAAACAACACAAAACAGTCACTCTAGCACACTGCCCCTGCAGGCGGTCAGTAACACCAGGGGTACACACAATCCCATCATGTAAAGCCAAGCCCTCTACGCCTTTTCGTTCAGCGGCTCGGACTCCCCATGGGGCCATGGAAACTGAAATCTAGGAACAACGAGCTTTTCATCCTGCAGCGTCTGATTTCTGCCTTTGGAACTGATCCTGAGCAGCCCAGGGCCCTCTGTGGCTGCCCCTGTGGGCTCTGATATCCCTGGCCTGGGAGAGGTGCTCATTTGTTGCAGGGAACTCCATCCCCAGAACACCCCAGCCCTGAGTGACACCATCACACAAGTCTCATTCATGACCCAGTCAGTTCCTGTTACAGTGAAACTGGGGTTCAGAAACTTTCCATTCTGTGGCACAAAAGCATTTTCATGGCCTGGTGTGTGGCCCACTTATTTTGAAAAGTCCTGGGAAGCATTATTACTCTGGGCTGTACTATTCACAACTGCTGACGATGCCAGAATGGGTGAAACAGAGTTTACGTTATTTCAACATTTATAAAAAACAAAAAGGAGGGAGGGAGGGAGGAAAAGAGAGAGAGAGAAGGAAAGAAATGAAAGAAAGAAGAAAAAGAGAGCCAGAAAGAAAAATAGAGAAGGGAAGAAAGAAGAAAGAGAGAAAGAAATGGAGAAGAAAGAAAGAGAAAGAGAAATAGAGAAGGAAAGAAAAAAGAGAAGCAAGCGAAGGAGCTATATGTGCCCTGTGTGGACACTACAGAGATAAATACATAACACGTGGTCCCTATTCTCGAGGAGTTTACAATCCAGCAATAGTTATCTATCTAGGAAAATAAAACTTAACTTTCTGGGAAAAACCAGGAAACGAATAAGAAAATTACCCCAGAGTCACCCAACTGGCATGGGCAGAGATTCCCACTCCTCAGGCTTGGAAGGAATTGAGAAAAGCCAACTAAGCCGCAACATCAATGTTCTCACACAGCGTTAAGATTTCATTCATTCAGCATTTGGTCAGTCATCCACAGTTTTTACGTGCTGCCTGCATGCCATCCTGGAGCCGGGTACTCATTGTTTGAGGGGATTTCAGGGGGATCAGAGCGTGCATGTGTCCACACACATGATCATGCTTCCATAGTGTCCCCAGTCCTCCTGATGGGACACACTGTCATCCCTGGGTCCTGGCCCTCTATTTGTGCTGTCTGTGCTGTCCCCAAGCTATGAGGCAGCATCAGATGAGCACAGACACTCCCAAGTCAATGTCCGGAACTGGGGGCTCCTCATCCTGTCAGCCCCAGCAGGCAGCACCACTGTCTCTGCATTTGGGGCCAGATGAAGAGGAAGGTGAGACCCCATTCGTCTGCCTGGAAGCAACTCATCTCTGTTTTGTGTGACTGTGACCCACGGCACTATGAGATGTCCCCAGCTGGATGCGTGTCCAGGAAGCAGCTGAGCAGAAGCCCTGACCCCCGCCCCACCGGGCCTCCATGCAGGTGGAAACTTCTGGAGCCTGTTACCGCTGCAGTGGACGCCGTCCTCCTGGAGCTCATATCCAGGGTCGCAGCGGCAGATGAAAGAGCCATAGGTGTTGACACAGGTCTGCACACAGGGGTTCTCCGTGGCACACTCGTTCACATCTGTAGAGAATAGCACGTCACAGACCATTCCTGAAATACCACACAGCAAGGCTGGAGCATGCACTGATGATAAAATCCACCACCACTGGGGACCATCAGAGGGTGACCTCATACCCCAAGTGTTCACACAAGGACTTGGGTCTTCATCTACAGGTCCCTCTGGGGTCGGGAGTCAGAAAGGGGGAAACATGCATACACTTGTGTACACATGTGTGTATAAATGCACGTGCATATATGCCTGAACATACATCTTAGTCTCCTCCCCTGGGCTCACTGAAACTGCCTTCTCCATTACCCACCACACCCTGTGGACAATTTGCCCTTTTCTCACCCTTACAGGTTTGGAAGTCTTAGGGAAACCAATGATCTTGACAATTCTAATATGTTTATTTTGTATAAACAGCTTCAGGATCATCACCCATTTTACAGGTTACGCAGGCTGAGGAGAGACCACTGGCACAGGTGTGGTGATGGGTGTTCACCACCTTGAGAGTGGCGATGGTTCTTGGAGCATCCGTGTCAAAATTAACAGAATTGTGGGCCTGTACAGGTGCGGTTTACAGCACATCAACTGTGCGACATTTCTGAAGATGGGGAGCTGGACCCACTGGCCAACCAGTGACCACGGCAACGGGATGCAAGTCAGGTATTCTCCTATCACCCAGGACTCCTTCTGTACAGTTCATGGAGGCGGGGAAGGAGCTCTTCCACAGGCATGAGCCGAACCATTGTGAGTGTTCCTCCTATGAACCATGTGCTAATGGACAAGGCCCCAGCAGAGAGGGTCCTAGCCCCACAAAGGCCAGCCGAAGCCCTTACAAAGCCGAGGTCTGAGCACCTCCAAATTGAGCCCTCTGCGGTGAGCTTAGAGGCTTTCTGAGAGCAGAGGGCTCATCCCCTGTCTGCAAAGCCACTGCAATCCACTCCCTTTGGAGCTCCCAGGTGGAAGGGGACAGATACATAAATGAACAGCCCCGTGGGGGGTTCCAGCAAGACCCAGGGCTTTGCAGGAGAAGGTCCGTGGCACTGAGGCACTGAGTGCCGCTCAGACAGGACAGCATGGCAAGGACTCAGCTGTGGTGAGCAGGCTTGGCCCCCTCTCCCTGCCCTTGGCTGCTTCTGGACAACAGAAGGACCAACAGGACTTACCCCCGGGCTCTCGCTGCCCTTGTTCACCCTTCTAAACACTCTTTAGCATCCACAGAGGGATCCTGGCTCCTACTCCCACCTGCTAGACAGGAGGGCCACCCCCGACTGTGAGATTTGGGCCAAGTTGCTTTGCCCCTCTGAACTTTGATTTCCTCATCTGGGAGGCAGAGTCACAGACACCCACCTGCTGCCCTCAGAAAGCTGTTGTTGGGGAGCAGTAGGACAGATGTGGCAATACTTTAGAAGATGGAGCTCATGTCCAGCATGAGGCTTGAGGAGGGCACAAGCCCACGTGAGTGGGGAACATCTTGTCCTGCTGAGGCAACACCCTGTGACTGAGAGCCCGTGCCCAGGCCTGGGTATGTACCTGCTGCCCATCCCACCGCTGGATTTGGCAGTACCAGGTGCACTAACTGCTCCTTGCCACACACCTCCCCGAGAAGCCTGCAGGACACAGTACCTTATGGCTCTACTGTGCACGGCTGTGCCTCAGGGACTGGGCACCACGCCAGCCTCTGGTCAGCACTTCCGAGCCCCAGTCTTGTCCTGAGCCGCCCATCACACAATGAGAGAAAGACCCAAGTACCCATTCCCGGCCTGGTGGGAAGGAAGGACCCCCGTTCCATCCACCTCTTCAACCTCCCAGCCTGGCCTCCACTTTCAGCAGAAAATGACCTCTCCTGGCAGAAGGAACATGTTCAAGACTTCATGGAGCAATAAGCGGAACCAGCTTTGGAGGAAAGACTAAACTAGTCCAGGATCAAGCTCTCTGACGCCGATGCCTTCCTGTCTACCCGCCAACTGAGATACGATTGAACTAATGGAGACACAATATCCTCCCATGGGCTGGCCCGGAGCCGGCAGCCAAGCCTCGAATGGTGTGACAAGGAAATGAGCCTCACAGAACCTGAGCCTCAGACAAAGGCCTCATTCTGCAGTTTGGGCATGGTCTCCACCTGGGACAAGCAGCTGCCAGGGGCTGGAGGCCCAGGCAGGAGGCTGGGGGCGGGGCTGGGCCAGGGGCCAGGGCAGGACTTGCATGGATTCCTAGGGTCTTAAGCTCCCTGTTCACTTGCTGAGCAGAAGAATCCTTCAATGGAAACCACAACAGGCATGCTGCTTGTTTCTCTTGCTTGTCAGCATTTGGTGTGATCACATGGAAGACATAAATGCCTGTTTCATTTGGGTTTTGCAGGGCATGCTGGGCAGCGGGAAGTGCCACCACCACCAGACTCTTTGCTAGTGATAGGCCCTCCTGGTACGGGTTGGAGGGAAACGGGTTGGAGCCCTCAGAATTGCCCATGAAACCCCTACGCAGTACATGTGTCTATTGCACAACTCCTCGAGGGCCAGGGGCCCTGACCCACCCCCCTCTGGGCCCAGAAGTTGAACTTGGACTACAAGACACACAACAACACTTCTGATTGCCCAAGGCCACATGGAGGGCAGACAGAGAAGCAAATGCCAGAAATCAAGGCTCCAGCAGGCCAGCATGGTGATCCTTCCCAAGCAGTGCTCAGAGCACTTTTCAAGGATCCTCCCACAGCCTTGGGTCAGGCCTCAGGTTTCTGTCAGCAGCAGGGATGGGTGGGCCAGGACAGAATGGGACATGCTTTAACAGCTGTATTTCACACAGATGCTGCTGGGCTCCGAGGAGACCACGCCCAGGGCTCACACTGCAGCCGGGTCATCACTCACGCTGTGTACCTTGGCAAGACCGCCCGTCCTCATTGAGGGTGAATCCAGGGTTGCACGTGCAGGAATAGGACCCAGGAACATTGGCACACAGCTGCTGGCAGTAGCCGTAGCGACACTCATCAATGTCTGTGGACGGAGATGTGGGCGACATGAGACAGGTCTCCTTGGTCACCACGGCTCCCATCAGTGAGGCAGGACCGCCCCACACGCCCTCTGGATTGCAAGGCCCGATCTCCCTACAGGGCTCACCTCCCTGGCACATCCCAGTACCACAAGCACCTAACCCCATCCGAAAACCTGCAGAGGAAATCCTGCTTTGAGCAGGATGCTCAGCAACACAGCCTCACCAACTGTATCCAATTCTACAAAGTATCCAACATTAAGGTTAAGGCCAGTGGGGGTGGCTCACACCCATCCCCCAGCACTTTGGGGACTGGCCAGGGCCTCTGGGGTGATGCTACCGGTTCTTCCTGCTTGTGAAACTGCCTTGTCCCTTCCCAGGGCAGGAAGTCTAGACAACATCTTAGAATTGAATCTTTTTTTTTTTTTTTTTTTTTTGGTCAGGCGGGAGGACTGCTTGAGCCCAAGTTCAAGGCCAGCCTCAGCAACATAGTAAGACTTAGTTTCTATAAAAAATTTAAAAATTAGCTGGACATGGTGGTACGTGCCTATAGTCCCAGCTACTCGGGAGGCCAAGGCAGGAGGATTGCTTGAGCCCAAGTTCGAGACTAGCCTAGGCAACACGGCAAGGCCTCACCTCTACAAAAAAATTTTTTAAAAGTTAGCTGGGTGTGATGGTATAAATCTGTAGTCCCAGCTACTCAGGAGGCTGAGGCAGGAAGACTGCTTGAGCCCAGGAGTTCGAAATCAGTCTGGGCAACGTAGCAAGCCCTCATCTCTACAAAAAATTTTAAAAATAAGCTGTGTATGGTGGTGTGCACCTGTAGTCCCAGTTACTCAGGAGGCTAAGACAGAAGGATTGCCTGAACCAGGAGGTTGAGGCTGCAGTGAGCTGTGATTGTGCCACTGCACTCCAGCCTGAGTAACAGAGGACACCCTGACTCAAAAAAAAAAAAAAAAGATTCAACTCTAAGATGCTGTCTAGACTTCCTGCCCTGGGAAGGAACAAGGCAGTTTCACAAGCAGGAAGAACCAACAGTATCACCCCAGAGGCCCTGGCCAGTCCCACTAATGATGACCACATCCAGCAGTCAGGAAAGGAGCCAGTGAAGCCAGGTTGAGAGGACACCACTGCGGGTCCAGGGCTTGGGGAGGCTGGAATCTGCCTCAGGCCACTTGCACGGGGCAAACATAAAACTCTGAAAGGACATGCCCCTCCCAAGCACAGCTGGCCTTCCCAGGAGGGTGACCTGGGACACACAGGTCCTGTGAGCAGAGCCGGGCAGCCAACTTCCCTGCAACATGCACTTGTCATGGCAGCCTGGTGTCCTCAGGAAAGCACCCAGGCTGGAGGGACAGGGGCTGGGAACCCACTCCCATGGGAGGGCTGACATGCCACCAGCCTCCACACAGTGTTCTCCCCATGCAGCCTCCTACTGTGGCCCAGGGTCTGACTATGGCTGTAACTGCTCCTTATTTCAAATCCCTCTGAACTAATTGCAGGGCCCCCGACCTCACCTTCAGAGGGCCCCCGACCTCACCTTGGAACCTGGACTACTCAGGGCTCTAGCCAGGAGGCACAGTCCGTGTGCCTGGGTCCACATCTTCTGCCAGACAAGACTGTACCTTCCTGGCCTACTCCAGCCCTCACCTCCTGTCCAGCCCTCCCACCTCATCCCACTCCATCTGCGCTTACTCCCACCTCTCCCCTCCCCTCCTGTCCAGCTCCCCCACCTCACCCCTCCTCTCCTGTCCAGCCCCCATTTCTCCCCTCTCCTGCCCTGCCCCCACCTCAGCCCTCCCCTCCTGTCCGGCCTCCCACCTCACTTCTCCCTTCCTGTCTAGCCCTCCACATCACTCCTTCCCTCCTGTCCAGCCCCCCATCTCCCCTCTCTCCTCCTGTCCAGCCCCCCTTCACCCCTCACCTCCTGACCAGGTCCCCAGATTCTGCGCCTGTCCTTGTCTCTCACTGGCCCCACCCCTCTGCCCCTAGGCTGGGCAGAGTCAGCTTGGAAGGCCACTGGCCTGCATAGCTGCTGGTCCCAACCTCTTCCCAGGGTGCGGTGGACATATCGCCAAGGCCAGGAGGCAGCAGGGGCTGGAGACGTCCCTTTAGCCAGGTGGGCCTTGGAAGAGAGGCAGCTCTGCCCTCCTTTTGTCTGCAAAAGCAGTGTCCCCACAGGTGCACAGAGCAGGGGGCAGCCAAGGAAGCGCCTTTGAAAGAGAGGAGGGTCCAGCCCAGGGGGACATGGGTTCTGCTTTCATTAGGAAAGGCATTTGCTCAGATGTATAGTGAGGCAGTGCCACAGGGTTCACATTAGGCCTCCACACATGTCCCTCTTGAAGCTGCACTTTGGGGGACAACCCTCCCAGGTGGAGGACAGTCCGGCATACCAGTAGCCCTGAGTCGGGAAGGTTCTGGCCCTAGGTCTCCCTGACTCACCAGTGTCCCTTGTGGTAGGAAAAAGCTAGCCTGAGATGCAGGCATCTTGGTCGGTAGACCCAACTCTTTAACTTTGTCCAAAAGGTCCCTTCTCTCTGAGATCAGTCCCCGACCCTATAAAAGATGACACGACATCCAACGTCCTTTCCAGCATGGAAACTCTTCATCTTACCCTCCTGTGCAAACAACTCTCTCACTGATCTGCTTGTGTTCTAATGAGCAGCCTCAGATTCTCCATCATAGCAAAGGGGTTGACATGGTGACCATTTCATGAATGTCCTGCACCCACCAAAGGGAGGGCCAGGCCGAGCCCAGGCTGGCCAGCCGAACCTCCAGAATGCTCCAACAGGGCTCCAGCGCAGACCCAAGCCCAGTCTCAGGCAGGAGCAAGCATATCTTCTCTTGTTTCCAGGGTGTAGCTTGGGTCTGCTTCCAGCACCCCCTCCCCCCTCCCAGGACCGACTCTCAGGCACTATGATCTTGTCTCTGAGGGTTTAAACTGGTAGGGCCTTTCCCAGAGAACACAGTGAGGAAGTCACACCCTAGGATGAGTACCCAGTGACAGAGAGGGAGCGCTGTGAAGTCATTCACTCGGCCATACCCACACCAAAGTGGGAGAGAGGAAAGGCCCCTCTGGTGAAATAGAGAGGCCAACTATGAGCGATGGAGCCTCTAGCAGGTGATGAGAGACTCTGCAGGGGTCGAAGGGCAGGCTGACGCTGGTGGTGGCATGGCAGGTGTGGCGATGGGTTCTGGGAGGAGCAGCGGGAGGTCAGGGTCCATGGGCCACCACTCGAGACCTGGAGCATTTCTGGGACTAAGCAGAAATACTCCATTGCCCTCCTCTTGGAATTATTCCTAACCAGAGCGAAATGACCCCCCCACCCCCACCAAGACCCCTCCTTGGTTTAGACAGACACTTCCTGAAGGCAGCACAAGGTCTGGGAAAAATCAGACTTGAATCCTAAAAACACCATTTGAAAGCCATGTGCTGACATGGTGGGGACGGAGACACCTGGTTTTCAAGGGGGTGACACGTGAGCTCAACGGCCTTCTACCCTCTGCCCCCTGAGGAAAAGCTCTCTCCCCTCGGGCAGCCAGCCGTGCCCAAGCCCACAACACCCCAGGACCCCAGGGGTTGTTACCTAAGCACTGGCCTTCCAAGAGCCAGTACCCATCGGTGCAGGAACAGGTGTAGCCTCCTTCCGTGTTGATGCAGATCTGCGTGGGGTTGCACTGGTGGGAGTCTGTCGCACACTCGTCCACATCTGTAACAGACACATCCAGACAACGTCACCGCATCCATCTGGAGCCCTGGAGCCTCCAGAGGGGCCAGTGGCCTCTGCTCCTGGCTGGGAGGCAGCTGGATTACCCCAAGGAGACATGCAGCACCCTGGCAGGTACCTCTAGGAGACACTGACTCTACCTAGAGGGGCAGAGCTGGTCTCTCCACAAGTCCACAAGGGGAACATCCAGGAAGAGCGTACACATCCTCGGGCACTCCTCTGCCACCGTGTGCCATCACCATCTGAAAGTACGTCACCTTGACAACTACCATCTGAAAATACATCACCTTTACAACAACTACCTGAAAGCGTATCACCTCAAGAACCACAATCTGAAAGCACATCACCTCAACAACTATCTGAAAGCATAACTCTTTGACAACCATACTGAAAGTATGTCTCCTTGACAACAACCACCTGAAAGTATGTCGCTTAGACAACCACCCTCTGAAAGCATGTCACTTTGACAACCACCGCCTGAAAGCTTGTTGCCTTGACAGTAACCATAAGTAATGATTTGACTTAGTAGGGCTTATTTGTTCATGTGTTAAACAGGGGTCCACTGTGTGTGTACAGCGTGTACAAGACTATGATAAAACACTGAGAACAAACCAGACATGAGGGAAACATTCCCTGCCAGTAGATGCTGCAGTTTAGTCACCTGATTATAATCATCCATAAAATGCTAGACTTTCAGCATGGGGCTCCTGCCCCTTCCGGAAGTTTCTTTGCAGAGCTCTCCTGCTGTCCCTCCATGCCAGAGCTCCGGGGCTAACCCCCCTGTCCTCTGCTCTCCATGGGTCTCTCAATATGACCACAGACCCCACCACTGTGTGTCTATCTGGTGGTGTGAGGGTCCCCATGTCCAAGGCGGACACTTCTCCTCAACTGAGCGCTTCAGAGCACAGAGATCAGGTTGTGTTCACAGTCAGGCATTTCTATGGCATCTGGCGCAGATGCAATACACAGTCGGTGCTCAAAGCTGTTTGTCTACACTGGAACATTCTACTCCTTTCCCCCTGCACTGCCCTTTGAGGAGAGTCCAGGACCTGGAGACAGACCTCCTCGCCTCACTCTCACTTTCCACCTAACACACATGCAGGAGTAAACCCACAAGGATGCAGTGTGCATTAGGGGTCTGTCTGCTGGCCCCCACACCTGTCCTACCTGTCGGTCCTGCCTCATCTGCCTGTACATAGTAGGCACCTTCCTTCCCCTTCACAACCGCAGCCTGGATCTGCTCCTTCTCCCACCTGCACCAAACGCCTTTCTGTACAGTTGGAGATAACACTAGAAACTGCAGTCACCACATTTGCCATGTGCCTGAACCCCACCTGTGACCAAGTGTGTTCCCACCTCACCCTCACCCTGTGAGGCGGGTTCATGGTCCCCATTTCACAGGTGGGAAAACTGAGCTGAAGAAGCTGACAAACCAAGAACTGTCAGACTTCTCTGCCTCCAAGTCTACTCAGGGCAGGAACAACAGAGGTTATGTTGCCCAGGACCAAGTGGGCTTGGGAGGGTGGCAGACCGAGCAGGGTGCGGGCCAAGCTTTCCCACCTTTCACCGACCTCCCCGCACCCTCGGCATAGCCCACCTGCCTCTCAATACGCAGACTCAGATTCGGTCATGGCCCATCTGTCGGCTTCTTGAATGTGTGTGGCGGGTGAGGAGTGTAGAGGTGTCCCTGATCTCCTGAGGGCAGGACTGTGTGTGGCACAGGGCTGTGTGCTCCATGCATCAGAAAGCCAGAGCCCTGATTAAGGAGGATGCACTATCAGCCAAAGGGATCCCTGGGGTTGAGGTGATACTACCACACCCACCACCAACTGCAGCATGGATGCCAATCAACCCCACCCACCTGAACACCCAGGTGTTTGGTATGCTTCTTAACCTTGGGTGGTGTCAGTTGTGAGCCCAGCTCTGCCCAGCCCCTGCAACCCTTCCAGGGGCGCCAGGAACAACTGGCCCAAAGGCACCACTGGAATCTATCTTGAAGCCCTGGATGACAAGCAATGCCGTAATCACCAGTGCATGTTGACACTTTCCCAGGGGTGACAAGCGGCAGTCGTGTCCCAGGAACGGGCTGCTCAGAGACATCTGTATGCTTCCTGCCTTGAGAGGCATGAAGGTGGAGGAGATCAAGGGCCAGGAGGTGTTGTGGAGGCCTGATGGCAGCAAGTCTCAGTCTGAGCTCCATCACCTGGGGCCCGTGCACCATGCACGTCAAGTCAAGAAATACTTGAGTGAACCAGGCCAGGTCCAGAGGGGCACACGGGACCTCTGCACGAATATGCGTGTGTGAGTGTATGAGTGTGTGTATAAGTATGTATGTGAGCATGTGCGTATGTGCAAGAGTATGTGTGAGCATATGTGAGTGCATTGTGAGCGTCAGTGTACACGTGTGAGTGTACATGTGGTGAGTATATGTGTGTGAGTGTATATGAGTATGTGAATGTATACATGTGCAAGCGTGTGTATGCATGCGTGGGCATGTCAATGCACACAAGCCCGCACAAAGTATCCAGGCCTAGAAACGAAACCTTTGCAGTTCACTTTTTACTCCAGCATTGTTACTGAATGAAAGAATTAACTCAGTGATGTTAACTCCATAATTAACACCCTTCTGCTGACACACATTTAAAAAATTACATGTTTAGCTTCCTGGACTCCTGTGATGAACCAAGTGCATCTGTTCTGAAGATGCACCGAATCCCTGGAGTTGTGGGTGACTCCCATCCTTCTGTCCTCCAAATGTGCCCAGTGCCTACGTTGTCCATGGTGAGTGTCCCAGTCTCACCAACAGTTGGGTACATGAAGGAGCATCGCCATGATCCCCTGGGCAGGTGTCCCTACCTGTTGACACAGCTGTTCTAGGGTGTGTCCTTTGAAAACAACCACACCTGCCAACCTGCTGTCCATGTATACTGGACACAGCTGGAACTGGACAGGTCCACAAGCAGGTCACCACTTGGGCACAGGACCTACACAATCCAGCTCGCGGTGGGATGGCTCATGTTAAATGTGTCTGACTTAAAGAACAGGAAGAACATGCAGACATCGGCCAGGCCTATCTTGCACCTGCAGAAAAGTCCAGCCATGAAAGCTGAGCATGCATTGCCATTCTCGGACACACACAGGCCTCGGACATCCCTTCCTGCAGCAGTCAGGCAGAGTCTTCTAAGAGAAAAGAGCGGCAGGGACATTCATTCACCCACTTACTCATTCTCTTTTTCTGTATCTTGTGTGTGTATGTATGTACATGTGTGTGCATGTGTGTGTATGTATGGGCATGTGTGCAGGGGTGTGTGTATGTATGGGCATGTGTGTGTGTATGTATGGGCATGTGTGCAGGGGTGTACACACATGTGTGCATGCACGTGTGTGTACATGTATGTGTGCACATGTACCCTCTACAACCTCTAGGCCATCTGAGGGGCTGGCATCGTGCACATTCCTGCCTACCATATGTGTCCCAGGAGCCGACTTACTGCGAGTCCTTCTGTCAGCTCCTTGCCCCTCCTGGCTCCATAGTCTGCCAGCTGTGGGCACTCAAGGGCTCTGCCACAGCAGCCAAGGCAGGGGTTCTCCCCAGGTGGGGCTGGGTCCACATGCTGCCCAGGGGACCAGTGCCCCAGTGACTGGCAGAATGTGCTCACCAACTTTCCAGAAAAGCCCAGTGTCACGCCTCCACAAAGAAGCCATCATCTGCACAGCTGACCTAATCTCAGCATTGTGCCTCCACAAAGAAGCCACCATCTGAGCAGCTGACCCAATCCTAGCATCATACATCCACAAAGAAGCCACCATCTGCATGGCTGACCCGGGCAGCTTGGTCTGGCCGCTTTCCTTCACATGTCCCAAGTGGTCCCTCCACCTGGAGCAGCTGCTGGCTCAGGAGAATCAGCGACACCCATCAACACTGACTTCATGATGCTGTCCAAGGAGGCTACAGGCATCGGGAGGGGCTCTAGGCCACAGGACAGTGGAGCCCAGACTACAGATGCCTGTTCAGGATGTCACATCACAGCTGTGGTTCAAGCCCAGTTGGTAGGCTGCTTCATGTGGCAGGAGTCAAGACAGAGTGGGACAGTCTTTCAGGCAGGTGTGCTGGTCGACAGCTCACAGGTGCCAGGTGGAAGACCTGACCTCAAGACACCAAAGCACAACCGTCCCACCATCCTGAGGACAATGTGAGCAGAGTCGTCCACCTAGCTTGAGGGATAGCATGGGAGCCGCAGCCCACATACCTGCTGCTGGCCTCAGACTCTTGAACAGGAGTCTTGGAGGCATCTAGTGAGGACTGGCACCTGTCCCGTGGACTGGAGGCGTTCTTGAAGGACTTATGGGCATTGTGCTATTGGTTTATTTCCACTTTATATCTCCCTGTGGGAGTGGGCTGGTTCTTAGAAAACACCATACAACCCACTCGTTTCCATATAAAACTAATGGTGTTGGGTGTGGTGGCTCATACCTGTCATCCCAGCACTTAAGGAGGCTGAGGCAAGAGGATTGCCTGAGCCCAGGAGTTCAAGACCAGCCTGGTCGACATAGCAAGACCTCATCTCTACAAATAGAAAAATCAGCTGGGCATGGTGGTGTGCCTGTAGTCCCAGCTGCTCGGAAGGCTGAGCCAGGAAGATTGCCAGAGCCCAGGAGGTGAGGCTGCGGTGAGACATGATCGTGCCATTGCACTCCAGTCTGGGCGACAGAGTGAGACATTAACCAAAACAAAAAACAAAAAAAAAACCCAACTAATGGGACAAGTGTGATCCTTCTTAGTGTTAACTCACAAAATCTCTATGGGTGGGTGTAACAGACATATCATGCTGCTATAAATATGCATAAACATATTCAAGTACAAATAGCATGGTACATACTATAAAACACAAAACAAATATTGCTCCATGCCCACAAGTGATGCATTTTCTAGGCCATTCTCCTAGCACCAAAATTTAAGAGAAAGAAGCCCAAAGGGCCAA